CAATGTTTATTTCGTTACTTTTTATAGTTTTTGTTAAAAAATACTTAAAAATGATTTTTATACACTATCACTTGGTAATACGTGTTTATAAATTGGACCCCGTTATGCAACAAAGAACCAAACAACATATTTGCAGTTACGAGAAAATGAGGAAAAACGTTTCAGACTTTTGATTAAAAAAATTATTTATAAAAACACTTTTAAACTGAACAAACGCTATCATATTTTACTATATATGAACAGAACAATAATTTTAATGAACAAAAACACTTAAAAACTTATTCCAAGTATGGAAAAAATACCTGGTTCCTTATTGCTTAATTAAAAATTTAACAAACATCACTTGGGACCGTAACCAAGTTACAATAAAAATAAAAAAAAACTTACGTATGTCAAAAAATAAAAGTTTTACTCTAAGAAAAACACTTGGTTCTATATTGCGGAACAGGAAAAAATATATTATTGGTCAAAGTCAAAGTCTAACTCGCCATTATAACCGTCTGTCTTCCTCTATTAAAGGGTCTCCTATTGGACTAGTATAAAAAATAATGATCAGCCTCAGGAATAAGATGCAAATAACTGCGTATGTCATCTAGTTTTGGCTGAGCCACTGGTTTCCCGTTTGGCCATAGCGATTGAAGTAACTGAGAAAACTGTACGTCTGAATCCTTTGATTTTTTTCTCTTCCTTATATTTATTTCTTTATATTCAGTCTCATCATCATAGTCCGTTTTTATAAAGATACTAAATTTTTTTTCTCCAATAAGTTTTATTTTTTTTATATGGAGCCAATTAACAATTAAAAATTAAAAATTTAACAAACATCACTTGGGACCGTAACCAAGTTACAATAAAAATAAAAAAAAACTTACGTATGTCAAAAAATAAAAGTTTTACTCTAAGAAAAACACTTGGTTCTATATTGCGGAACAGGAAAAAATATATTATTGGTCAAAGTCAAAGTCTAACTCGCCATTATAACCGTCTGTCTTCCTCTATTAAAGGGTCTCCTATTGGACTAGTATAAAAAATAATGATCAGCCTCAGGAATAAGATGCAAATAACTGCGTATGTCATCTAGTTTTGGCTGAGCCACTGGTTTCCCGTTTGGCCATAGCGATTGAAGTAACTGAGAAAACTGTACGTCTGAATCCTTTGATTTTTTTCTCTTCCTTATATTTATTTCTTTATATTCAGTCTCATCATCATAGTCCGTTTTTATAAAGATACTAAATTTTTTTTCTCCAATAAGTTTTATTTTTTTTATATGGAGCCAATTAACGAAATCATCTTTTTTTATTTCATGTCAATGGGTCGCTTCTTTCTACATATTTTCATGATGTTTATGTAATCTTGAGGGCAAAATACTTTATTTTGTCTCTTAATCGCGAATTCTACGTCAACGAAGTCGCTATCGTTCGGTAGGAAACTATGACCAGACACCAGAAACCTTAATCTAATACTTTTTAAATGTGCCGAATCCTCAAGAATACTTTTTAGCAAGAGAACCATTTTTATATTGCGATTCTGGCCACCTCAGGAATCGCTCCAGAGGATGATGGTTTTCACAGATTCGGATACAGCACTAGATAAAATATATTTCTTTAAACATGAACCCACTTCTTGAGCTCCACAGCCCGCTTCCCCTTCGATCCAAACATTAAAAGTGGATTTTTTTTGCTTTCCTGCATAAATCCCGCAATTATAGAGCCATAACTGTCTTTTGTAAAATATGATATTAGTAGTTAACCAAGGAAGAGGTAGCGTCTTCTCCATGTCGAAAGTTAGCGTTTCCGTTTTATCGTCAGTGTCTGCTTAAGAAAGATCTAAATTAATTTTTTTTTCTGGCTGTCTCTGCTTCTTCCAAGTGTAAATTCTTTTTATTTTCAATTCGCAAAAGTGAACCAACACATCTCAGAATTAGCAAAATGGAACCAAGTAACTTTGGATCTTTATAGTAAATTACAATCGAAATAGTTTTGGTTATGCAAGTAAGTTCTATCATCCGCCAAATGGCGCTAGAGCGCCAGATCTTTGGATCGCTATTGCAAATCGGGGGAAGACAATATTTGACTATGTGACTGCAATTAACTCGTTTTTTCGTAAATTGTCGGTTGGTTCCTTATTGCATAACGGGGTCCAATTATAGTTTAATTCACTAATACAGTGACTAAAAGAAAATATTAATGGTATTGTTTTTTTAACAAAGAATCGGAATGGTTTCTTTTAAAAAGTAACTTAACGAACATACATATTTAAAAAAAAAGCATACAATTTTTAATAAAAAATAAAATAAAAAATTGGAGTCAAAAGTTTGTGAACTAAGTACATTTTATTTCAAATTATTTATATAACAACTTTTTTTATTGAATTAAATTTTCGATTTCAAATTGGTAACACAGTGGAGATATATAAAAATCCAACCAAAAGTCAATTTAAGCAAAAAAAATATTTTGATCTTCATTTTCCTGAAAGCGGGTGTTTTTTGAAAATGACCCATGTACAATTGTATTATTAAAAAATAATAAGGTGTCAAAAGATACAAAAACTTATTTCAAATATACAATGGGATGTTTAAAAAAAAAATTCGAAATCCTAACCTCCGTGAAGCTCTAATATTTAAAATGTTTGATTTCTTAAAATTCTTTCATTAGTGCAGAACCACGTATGTTATGTTATTACTAGACTTGGTGAAAAATTAGATTTGGTTCCTTATAAGAAAAAATTTTTGTTCATTACCGAGAAATCTGATGCGTGTTTTAATTTATAAAATTATATACTTCCCAACTTCTGGTGGATCAACCCAATTTGGACAAGTTATAAATTTCTTTATTTCTGTTTACTAAGTAATCAAACGACAAATACGGCATTCCTGAATAATAACATAATTTGGTTGTTAATATCTCAGGTAGTGGTTATTTTATAACCATATACGGCTTATTGGAACCCTGCTATGTAATTTGAATGAATACTTAATGTTATGTGTGTAAAATTATTCCTTTTCTACCAATAAACCTGTGTTTTTTAAATCATGTTAATTCTTTTCATGGTAAATATTTTAAAAGTACGCGCTTATCTTATTAATTATCTTTCCATGAAGGCAATTAGAAAATCTTAAAATTGGATAACTCTTGCCGCTATCTGCGTTTGACATCATAATGGATTGAAGAATTTTATATTCCTATGATATTGGCTTATTTATAAGATATATCTAAATCTAATGGTGTTGGGTTTTAATTAAACGAAATAAGAAAGTAAAGCAAGTAGTACAGTAAGATGGATTTAAAATTTAAATTACCTTATTTTATTGACGACACATAGTATACACGGTGTTTTACATTCGTGGAAATTTTAAAAGCGTTTATAATCCATTTAAGTATATTTTTCTAAAATATTTTAAACAAAAGTCCAAGTCAAATAAAACACCTCATATATTTTTACATTTTTAAATTCTACGAGGCATTTTTTTTAAGATTTGAGAAATAGCCTATACCTTTTTTATCAGGTTTGCGAATATGGGGGTACAATTTTTGGAATACTAAGACATTATTATAAGATTCTATGTCAATTCTTTCACATTTTTCAACAAATTACCGGAGAAAACCCAGTTCAAATTAGGCCAACTTGAAAAGTTAATAACTTTTTTATTTTAAATGTTACATCGATTTTTACATTTTTAGTACATTAAAAAACTTGTAAAATTGATTATATTTTCAAAAACTGTCCTACGTTTATAACTTTTGACGACATTTTCGGATTCAGCGAATAATATTTCATAAGAATTGACTGCTAAATGTCCTGGATACAAATTGCTGTTGACGAGAATTCATTTTTACAGAGTAACATTGATTTAAATACAGTCCATGATAGAGAACATAAAAAACTAAAGGCAACAAAATTAATAAATTTGAAAAGTACTTTTAACATACCACCAGAAAAAATATTATATTTAGATATAAAAAATATTATATTTAGATATATATATAAATCATCCTGTTCCGGGCTAAACATTAGGTATAAATGCTTCACAAACTAGAGATAGGTACCACACTTGATATTTGCAAAAAACTATTTCAGAAGTCAGACCAAGGAATTACCTAGGAGTTAGGAGAATCCAGAAAAGGTATGAAGAATCCGAGAAAGAAATATATGATATTTACAAAAACGAAATAAAAAAAATTACCTAGAACAGCAATTTATCATTAAAAAATATTTAACAATTTATGTTTTTTGATGTAAAAATTGTATGTCCAATAACTATGGTCCATGTGTCCAATTACTATATAAAATGTCCAATTACTATACTTTTATGCATGCATGCAAACATGTTTTTATAAATCTAATATTAAAAATTCAAATACTCTTATTTTTAAGTAAACGTAAATAAAGTTTAAACAAACAAACTATCCTTTTTATATATTTATAAGAAAAAACTATAATCTTTAAAACAACGGCATTTATAAACATTTTTGTTGACCAACTAGGTTTTTTTTTAATAACTGATAAAAAATTGCACTTAGTGAAGAATAGCAACATCTAATGTGGAAGTAAGAATGAAGAAATTCTTGAATGTAAATGAACTTTTAGTAATAAATTAGCAATAAAAATATTATTGGTTTAGTAAATTCTTACTATTACTCATTTTTTTGTCATTAAAATATTTCATATAATAAATTTTATATTTTATTATCTCCAATAATCTAGTAATTTATCTAACTTTCTAGCTTCTACAGCTTTGTTAAGTTTTTTTCAAAATTATCAAATACTCTTTGTATAACTTTTACATTTTTTATATGTTTGGCTATCTAAGTTGATTGTTTACAAAACACTTAATTTTTTTATTATTTAATTTTAGACAATGTATACTTATAAGTAAAAAAACACAAATCTATTAATTTTTTTATCATTTTATTAGTGTGATATCTTCAAAAAAATATTTTGGGATAAACATCCAATCTAATATAAAAGGGAAGCATTTTATTATGAGGGATAATTAATATAGTTAACTAGCAAGGATGAAATATTTGGTAATATTTTTTGTTGGTTTCGCTGTAGTAAGCCAATTTGTTTGGGGTCTTAAAGATTCAAATTTTGATGATGGAGATTGTGATGGAAATGGTATGGTTATTTATGAGGAGGTTTTAAAAGTTAAATATGCGTTTATGAAACACACAACAAGAACCGTAAGTATCAAGACTAATAATTATAGTTTTTTAAACTATTTTAATCAATTTGGAAAATGTTCGATGCTTTTTGATTCGATTTTGACAGGTGCAGTGACATTTCTTTATGCAGTATCATTTTAAATCTTAAAGAGTAAAATAGGTAACATTGTAAACTTCTGAAAACCAGATTGTTTCTTGGACTTCTTGGGTCATGTAGCTCTAACTTCATAATTTCTTTTGCAGAGAAATGTATGCACTCCTGATTTAAATTCTAAAATAAAATGCGTTCAAGTCAAGGACTTACGACACGATGGCTTAAACGGAGATGCCGAAATTACTGAAGGAGGACCTGGACACGATTGTGTTACAATATATTTTAAATCAAAATACAATAGAGAAATGTCATTCAATGTAACAGTTTGGAGCAATGAGAATACCTTAATATTATAATAAATTAAAATGTAGACTATTTCCCTCGTCTTAATTTCCACCAATCACAAACGCGCAATTTTGAATTACAAATGGTTTCTAGGTGAAAAAATTGTGTGACAGCACCTGTCAGCAGTTTTTTCGAGTTTACCCGCGGCAAAACTTGACAGCTGTTGTCATAGTAATTTTTCTATAAAAATATCACTTTTTTTGGTAATAATTATCTTATTAAATTAAATCTGATTTTTTTAAGTACCCACGATTTTTTAACTAATATTTAAGTTTCCTTTGGTTTAAGTTTTATACATTATTTCATTCGGTGATAATTATCAATTGCGCACCATGGTCACTTTTTACCTGCCAGCATTAAATCCTTTAATTTAGGATTATTGTACTATTTTTAATAAAAATACCTCATTTAAGGTAAAAAAAAAACCTTATTTTGTCAATTAATTAATTTAATCCTAATTGAGGTATAAAAAAATAGTATTTAGTTATAAATAATAATTATTTTTGAGGTATTAAGAAACTATTTATACATTATGCATTATTTAATCAATTTAGTTCGAAGATAAATTTGCAAACAAAAAGACCTCCTTTCGTTAAGCAGTTATTCATAATGGATTTTATCTACTCCTACATTGACGAGCTGTCACTTTATGGCGTTTTATTGACGGGCTGAAGTTAACAACAGTGGCTTTTCGACATTTTACGTCACGGGCTGAAGTTAGCTTTATTATAAATTGGGAAAAAGTGAGGGGAAATTCGGGCGACAGTTGACAGATGTCAAAATTTTAACAAATAAAATTGGCTTTGAATTCTGTTTTGTGTTCGTTGTAGATAAAGTATAGTATGCAACTCGTTTATAAACTTCTCTAGACACTCGTTTTTATTAAACACTCGCTCGCAAGCTTCGCTCGTGCTTAATTAAACTCGTAACTAAAATGGCGTTTATAAAACTTGATACATAATATACTATTTTAACAGTGGAAGAAAAAATAGAAATAATTTTGATTTATGGAGAAGCAGGCAGGAATCTTGATGATGCTGTTAACATCTACGCTCAGCGTTTTCCGGAAAAAAATCACGTACTTCATTCCAAAAAATTGATTTATTTCATTACAATAATTTTTATTTTAAACATTTTTTCGTAAAATGTATACTAACTGAGATATTTCAAAGTTTCAAGTAAAATAACTCACCCTGTATATTATTGGGCTTGGTTAAACTAAAGTTTAATTTTATAAATTTCCATGGTGCCAATCTCGTATTTAATTATTTATATTTAAACGTGTAGTGTAGTATAGATTTAAAATTTAAATTTGCATTGATTTTATTGACGCCACATAAAGTAATGTCGGTTTTTAATTAACAATTAAGTTAAAATTCGCTACTTTAAAACTGGCTGACCCATCAGAATGACAATTACATTACCCGTATGCCGTGTACAGAGCTCTCGATTGGAAGTTTTAATGCGAATTAAATTCGTATAATCTATCTCTAAAGTTCATCGCAACATTCGGAGACTTAAGTTTAGATCATAAACAGCTTTATATTTGAAACTATAAAGCGCACATTTCGTGTATGCTTTGAAATTCTCAAAGCTGCGAATTCTGATGCATTAACTACATATATTGAATTGGTTAACTTTTACAATAAGGGCATAATGTATTGGGTTTTAGAATGCAACGTTGGTTATAATCATTATTAATGTTTTGGAAAATATTTGTAAGCCAAAAAATATAAACAGATACCAGATTTTATGATTGCTATTTTGTTGTCATTACAAAGAAAAATGGACAACAATGCCACGACATATTTCAAATAAAAAAATAACGAAATTTTGCCTTTCTTTTGATTTTTAGTATAAAAGACATTTTAACACGATTTTTAAGCCCGAGGTAAATCTAAAAATCTTTATAACATTTTGTTTTTCGGTAAATGTCTTATAAGTATACTTGTAAATAAATAAAATAAAAGAATATTTAAATTTTTAATAATAGTTTTATAAAAACATGCAAAAAAGTATAGTAATTGGACATTTTATATGGTAATTGAATACATGGACCATAGTTATTGGATATACAATTTTTATATAAACATAACAACTTTACATAAAATAACATAAATTGTTAAATATTTTTTAAAAATAAATTGCTGTTTTAGGTAATTTTTATTTCGTTTTTGTAAATATCATATAATTCATATATTTCTTTCTCGGATTCCTCATCCCTTTTCTGGATTCTGAAGGTAACTACTAATTCCTTGGTCTGACTTCTGAAATAGGTTGTTGCAAATATCATTAAGTTTGTGAAGCATTTATAATGTTTAGCCCGGAACAGGATAATTTATATATATATCCAATATTTTTTCGGGTGGTATGTTAAAAGTGTTTTCCGAATTTATTAATTTTATTGTCATTAGTTTTTATGTTCTCTATCATGAACTGTATTTAAATCACTGTTATTCTGAAAGATGTCCTGTGACTAAGAAATCATTATATTACTTACTCTCTAAAAATGAATTAGTAAAAAATGTCATAGCGAAAAAGCAGCCACTAATAATTCTCGTCAACAGCAATTTGTATCCAGGACATTTAGCAGTCAATTCATATGAAATATTATTTGCTGAATTCGAAAATGTCGTCAAAAGTTATAAAAGTAGAACAGTTTTTGAAATTTAATCAATTTTACATATAATATGGAATTGACTATATCTCAAAAACTGCTTAACTTTTATAGTTTTTGACGGTCTTTTCGGATTCAGGGGACAATTTTACATAAGAATTGGCTATTACGGGATATAAATAGAGTATGATATTGGACATATGTCCCATAATAGAAATTTACATTTTTTACCAACCAGTAATTGGGCACTGGCCATTTTACTGTTTGTTTTCAGAATTAAAATTAAAACGCAATTATATGACAATGTTTAAACCATGAGGAACACATTTATACCACACCCTAATCTGTACACTTTTTAGAAATATTTTTTATTGTAATTTAAACACAGCCCTGCTCCTAACAAAAAACAAAAATCTTAAATAACTTAATTAATTTAGCGTGAACTCCTCCCTGTATAATTAATTAAATATGGTAAATTTGTCGTTACAAATAATCTAAAATTTAAAAACAAACTTCTCCTAAATCTTATACAGGCGTCAAATATAAAAATTATCTTGATAATAACCTATTCTAGCTAAATAAACAATGTATATAATTTATATTTAGAAGTATTATCTGTAGAGTCCTTCTACAAAAAAATTAATTAGCCTATCTCCTGATTTTTAGTATAAAAGGTAAACATTTTATTATTAGAGATAGTAAGGTTTAAGAAACGATACTAATAAAATATAGTAACCAATATGAAATATTTGGTAATAATTTTGGTTGGTTTGGCGGTAGCTGTTTGGGGTCTTAAAGATTCAAATATCGATGCTGGAGTTTGCGATGGAGAAGGCCACATAGCCTATGAAGAAACTATGGAAATCCCTTGGGCATTTGCTGACTACATGGAAGAAACCGTAAGTATTAGGACTAAATATTTTTTTAAACTATTTAAATTGATTCGCAAAACCATTTATTATGTAGATTCTAAAAAGACCAATCTAACGTTGTTTGTTTCTTTTATAGAGAGATATATGCACGCCTTCTAACAATACTACAATAAAATGCGTTGAAATCAAGGACTTAAGGAATGATGGAACCAACGGAAAGGCCAAAATAACTGAAGGGGGACCAGGACACAAATGCGTTACCATCAAATTTAAGTCTCAATTTAATAGAGGCATGGAATTTAATATAACTGTTTGGAGCAATAACAATACATTAATATTATAATAAATATACAGAAACATAACCTATGTCTTTTAATTACACTTAAACATTCTGCAAATTGACTAAAAAGTTTTGCCAAAGGATCCATTTTGGTACCTACATATGTTGGAGCAGAATTAACCAACATTACCTTATATCATTTATATTATAGTTTAAAAATTTGAAATATTGATTGAAATTACATACATTTTTTATATTGGATCCCACTAAAAAAACGCCGACAGCTGCATTTTAAAAAACTTAACAACAAAATATATCTACGAATTCATTGAAACATAATATTATATAATATATATAATACATAATATAATAACCGTTTTTTGGACTTTTACCGTTGAGTAGATACTTTCTTATTCATAATTCTGTTTGTATTTAGACGACTACAATTTTTACGTAAATCATTACTAAAATGTATATTTATTGTATCTAATAGCTACAATTTATATTTACAGGGACTGTATGCCATTTATATCTTTATTCGGATTTTCTGTTTATTGGGAAACCGGTAAAAACTAAACCCAGGATATCCTCTCAAAAAATTTTTTGACGTTTGTTATAAAATTTTATTAGGTTTTGACAGATGTCATATTATTTTCACGAAAACGATGAACAGTAAGTTATTTCCACCAAAATTTATTTGATTAAAACAAACACACTAAATGAATACACTGACTAAATTTAATAGTATATTATGTATAAAGTTTGATAAACGCAATTTTATACACGAATTTAATTTAGGCACGAGCGAGCTTGCGAGCGAGTTCTTAAATTAATGAGTGTATAGAAAAGTTTATAATCGAGGTGCATACTTATTATTATCTTAAAATGATTTAAATCAAAAATTTGGATAGAGCGCCATCTATGAAACAATAGGGGAATCTGTGTGTCACCGTCAAATGTCACATTTTTATTATTTTATAAACACAGATTATAAAGGTTATAAATCGAAATGTATTTCTTGAAAATTGACAGTTTTTCACAGTAAAAGTAAAGAAAATGTTTTATGAGGACTTTACAGTGGAGTCCGTGCCCGAATTTAAGTTATAGTTTTCTGCCGGCGAAATTAAAAGGTCAGTACAATGTTCATATAAACTTTTCAAATATTGGCGTTGGGAAACTATTTAATACTTTTGTATTTTTGTATTGAGGTAATAAAATAATTGTCACATTTAGTATTAAGCCTGAATTATAGATTGCCTTCCTTCCTTCCTTCCTTCCTCCCGTAGAAGATGAACATTACGTAATTGTCACCATTAACATTTACCGTGTAGGAATTTTTAATACTTTGTGATAATATTTTGCAATTATAGTAATAAAAAAATCAAAGAATAAAATATTTTCTTAACAAAATCATATTTTGAAGTTATTTTAATATTTTAAAGTATCAATAATTGTTAAGTTTAATTAAAATTAATAGCGGGCAATGTTAATGGTGACAATTACGTCAAAAATGTTTATTTAAATCGTAGTGCCAGTTATAGATTTTCGTATCGTTAGGACGGCATTCCTTCCTCCCGTAGAAATTTTTAAGTTTTATCTTTCACCGTAAAGGTCTTTGACATGACCAATCACAGTGCTTGTTATGGACATGCGCTGTAGGGTGACAGCGCGTAGACACAAAAAATTTAAAATACATGATTGTTTAGTATTATTTAAGGTAGGTGTTTAGTTTATTAAATAATTTGTGTCTCTAAATAGGATATTTAGATATTGTTTATGATCAATGTCTTTCATTTTTAGAAACGTTGCTTTGTAAAACCCCGTAGTTTCCCGGTCCAACGTCTTGTTCGATGTTTTTTTTTATTATACTGCCGTACTATGAAGAAAGGCAGTAACTACAAATGCGTTTTCTTGTGCTATGATAAAGCTATGGACATTTTGTATCTTAATTCAACAAAAAATGCAGTAAACTATATTTTAAGTTAAATAAATCAGTTAAATACCTACTGCTTTTTATAAAAATGTAGTTTATGCTAATTTCCCACAAATTTCTTGTCTAGCAGTTACTGCCTTTCTCGATAGTTGGGCAGTGTACAACAAGCTGCCTGGGCAATTAAAATTGTGATCACTGCACTAATATATAAATGATTATCTTTCATATTTACACACAAAGGGTAAAACGCAAAAAACACCAAAATAAATGTCAACCATTTTAGGTGTCATCGCGCATGGTTACGGAATTTTACACGGAAATCTATAAATTGACTTTTTACAAGACGCACAAATCGTACGGGCACGACTACGGGAGGAAGGAAGGAAGGCAATCTATAATTTAGGCTTTATTTTGCAAGAAAGGCACTTTATTTTAACGATTGTATGACATTTGACTGTCAACTAACTTAAAACTAACTTCAGCCCGTGACTAAAGCGCCATAAAGCCACAACTTGTCAATGTGTATTTAAAAGGTCACTTAGTGTCATAGAAACATGTACGATAAAGGGCGTTTTAAAGGTGGGAGTAGAAAAAATATTTTTTTGGTTTTTAAAAACCTCAAAAAATAGTCATCCTTAATTTTATTGAATTTGAACAAAAATTAGGTTTTTAAGTGACTTCTATCTGTATTTGTATTATTTTCTTTTTAGTTAAATTAGCTCCATGGCCAATGATTGTTGATTAAAGTTTTAATAAAACAAAATATATAGTAATTTGAAATGTTGCATGTAAAAAACCGTTTTTTACAATATCTCGAAAACAAAGGCTAATTGAGAATTGATCAAAATGTGATAAACAAAAATTTTTATTTTCTACACCAATGAAATCTTTAATTCAAAAACAAAGTTCTCTTAAAACTTATACAGGTGTCTAGTATAAAAATTATCTTGATAATAACTATTTTTAGCAAAATAAACAATTTATATAATTTGTATTTACAAGTACTATCTGGAGAGTCCTTCTACAAAAAAAAATATATTGATTTGCCTATCTTTTGATTTTTAGTATAAAAGTAAAGAATTTTATTATTTTAGATAGTAAGGTTTATAAAACGATACTAGTAAAATATAATAAGAAATATGAAATATTTGCTAATAAGTTTGGTTAGTTTGGCAGTGGCAAGCCAATTTGTTTGGAGTCTTAAAGATTCAAATATAAATGATGGAGATTGCGATGGAACAGGCCGTATTGTCTATAAAGAATCTATGAATATCACGTGGGCATTTGCTGACTATACAATAGAAACCGTAAGTATGAGTACTAAATATTTTTTTTAAACTATTTAAATTGATTCGCAAAACCATTTATTATGTAGATTCTAAAAAGACCAATCTAACGTTGTTTGTTTCTTTTACAGAGAGATATATGCACTCCTGCTGACAACACTGTAATAAAATGTATTCAAATCAAGGACTTAAGGAATGATGGAACCAACGGAAGGGCCCAAATAACTGAAGGAGGACCTGGATACGAATGTGTTTCTATCAAACTTAAATCTCAATTTAACAGAGGTATGGAATTTAATATAACAGTTTGGAGCAATAACAATACATTGATAGTATAATAAATTATACAGAACAGTATGTCTTTCAATTCAGTTTATCAATTACAAAAATTAATACCCAAAAAAATAGGATCTCGTTCCATATTGCACATCAAACAGAAATTCTTCAAGGATTTAAAGGGCATCACCTGTTCGACTAGGTCTAGATCTAGATTTTGGTTATAAGTTTGAACAATTTCCAAAGGATTTTGCGGAAGATTTCTAGGATGACCTCATTTGAACGTCCGTAACATCATTTCAGAGCGAAAAATTTGGAAACCAGTCCCATAATGACTTTTTTCCGTAAGGAAGAATATCTCGTAGTCTCTGAGAAAAAAGTCATTTAGTTATCGGGCCATGTACTATGCTCCACACCTCAAAGTCCCACCACGTGACCACGTACGGAACGCAGTCTTTTGAAAATTTGGCATTTAAGGCTTTTCAGGTTATGTATCTGTCAAAGTATAGTCAACGAAAGAAATAATATTATGTTTAGGCGTTAAAAATGTATTTATAAATCTTTATAACATTAGAATAACAATGGATGGTTTAAGAATTTAAGAATATAAATACTTCATTTAATGACATTCTAAATTGTATGGTGTCAAATAAGTAATATTTTTGTGCATTTGGTCTAAATATCTGGTTTTCTTCATAAAATAATTTTAACTAAACAGCATTTATTTAAAAAAAATCTAGCTTCTCTATTATGGAATAAGAATATCTGTATTAAAGGTAGGTTAATATATTATCATCATTATCATCTAATTTTATAATTTTAAGGTTAGAAAAATTTATTTGACCAAAATAAATAAGTATTATGGATTAATTTAAATACTGTATAATATGGTATCTAAAAATGTGGTAGTTTTTCTTATCCAGCTTAAAGTGTACCTACATAAAGTTTTGTCAATACAAATAGTCAAAATAGATTTTTCTAAACTTAAAATACAAAATTAGATGATATTTTTTGTTCTAATACATTAACCTACCTTTGATACAGATATTCTTATTTCATAATGGAGAAGTTAGATTTGTTTTAATAAATGCTGTTTAGTTAAAACTATTTTATGGAGAAATGTAGACCCAATGCATAAAAATATCACTTATATTGCACCTTTGGAATTTCATTAAATGCAGTATTTATATTCCTAAATTCTTAAACCAACCATTGTTATTGTGATACTATAAAGATTTATTAACTTTTAACGCTTAAACATAAGCAGTAACACTATAAATATTATTTCTTTCATTGACTATACTTTGACAGATACATAACCTAAAAAGCCTTAAATGCCAAATTTTCTAAAGACTGCGTTCCGTACGTGGTCACGTGGTGGGACTTTGAGGTGTGGAGCATAGTACATTTAATCAAACTAAATAAATCCATATTCTGGGACACCTTGTATACTGTACCATTAGGTAAAAACATGTAAATGTAGGTTAAGCTTACAATTAGAGTCCCATAATTAGAGTAATTAAACCCTTGGTCATTAAAATAAACCGCAATGAATGGGGAACCTCGTCAAATAAATAATGTCCCATAAATTTAAAGCTATGATTTATGTGTTGTAAACAAAGGTGGTTCATTAATTATGGTCCCTTATAGTTCGCATACGGCCACCAGAAGAACAACTATTTCCATTCTCTGCCAAAGTGTGTGTGTGTGTGTGTGTGTGTGTGTGTGTAGACATAAAATTGCATACATTTTTCACCGGAATTCCTATGTTAATTTTATTACAAGAAAACATAAAATCAATCCATGTTAAAAGATTTAAAAGCCTGCATGTTAAATAACTTAATTTTTAGGATCGGTTTTACTAATACTGTGGTATTTTTATAATTATATAGCAACCAAAATGAAAAACAAATAAAATTATCAAAGGTATATATTAAAAGTACTACTCGGCTTTGATAAATTATAGTATTTATTTAAACGTTCGATCCTTAAACATGATAGGGATAAAAAACTAAATTATCTTATTAATCCCACAAATTTAGAGATCATTGGTTAGCAGTGTTGCCAGATCAGAATCAGAAAAAGTGGCATAACTCGGGTATCAAAAATATTGTGAAATCGTAAAATTAATAGACTAGGCGGAGAAAGCTTACATTATAGCCGAGCAAACATGGTGCCCCATAATAATAAATACAGTAAATAAAAGACAATAAATTACGTTCGAACTCAGGTCAAACACCTGAAAGGCTCCCGTTTATTTTTTTATAAATATCTCTCATAAAACCTTCCAAAATGAGGGATTATGGGAGAAAGTTAAACGTATAAAAAACTAAAATTTATAACAAACAATAATGATATTTATTTGGATAAAGCAACAACAATAACCGTAACCCAAAAGACATTTAACTTATTTTCTGAAAGAACCCTTTAAACCACACAATATCTCCTTACTGGAACCACAACCCACATATAATAAATATACTATAAAATTCACGAAAAGAAATTTTGAATACAATTAGTCCAGTAAGGTAGTATTACAATCAAATTTTTGATCAATATAGCGCCAATCCAAAATTAGACTAATGTCAATAATTCATTCGATTGAATTATTTGCTAGGCTTAAATGTATCAAACCGTGATAAATAGCAGCAAATAAGTTTTATAAATCACTACAAAATTTAGAATAATTATAGTGAAAATTATATTAAATTCGCCTACGATTTTCTAGAAAGCGCATAATATTTTCTTAAATTTACCAATTCTTGGATTCAATTAAGCACTTTTTAGGTCAGTTTAATCTATAGATTAAACTGACCTAAAAAGTGCTTAATTGAATTCAAGAATTGGTAAATTTAAGAAAATATTATGCGCTTTCTAAAAAATATATTTTTTAATAGTAGTTATAAAAAATTTGGCAAAATTAAGAATAATTAGGATAAAGTTTATCAGATCATTTGATTGATTCGTGCAAAATTTATCTAAATAGTTTGTAAAAAATATATTGAATTTTTCAAAAATTGTATTATTTTAATCAATTCAATATTTGATTATTGACTGGAATATTGATCTTCGTAATAAGCTGTGATAGTGGGGTAGGTAAAGTATATATACTAAATTTTGTGTTTAATAAATACTCATTTTATTTCAAAATACAAAAAAATAACTTAATAATGGTTTAGTTTAACAAGTGTTTTTTATGTTATTTGACTAATATAATTTATAATTTTTAAAGTTTTAAAATATTTGCTTTTAAAACCTTAAAAAACAACTGTTTAAATTTAATTTAACGGCGTCAAATTAATCAAAGATGGTGGCTGGAGATGTCCCACGTGGTGCGCACAACAGTTTTCGTTCGAATGCCAACGAAATCGAACAGACCTTCTTGTGAGGATTGTGATCACGATTTTAATATTATCCATATCCCTGACGTCTACTTGACAGTGAAAATGCTTGGGAGAACATACCTATATTACTGTTAATAACCAAAAACGTGGAAATTAATAAAATTTATTATACCTACATATAATGCAAAAACTATGAGAGCGAAGTCAAAATAAACGGTTTTAGAATCTGCTGTGTTGAATAGACACGATCGTTCTTTCACAACTCACTACACCACCTGTCTCGAAGAGAAACTGCAAACTAAATCGCGTTAAAAATTAAAAACTGGCATTTTTGCTAAACTTGCTGCTTATATTACAGATTTGGTCAAAATATTAGCTTGATTTTAGCTGACTTTATAATTCAGTCAAATATTGGATAATCCTATTAAAAATTTGATAGAATTAGTTTTATATTTAATTAATGTTAGTACACATTTCATAGGTCTTTTTCTAAAATTCCGTAAATTTTTCTAATAATTCAATCTAGACAGAATTATTTTAATTTAAATATGTATAGATATTAAGCAATTATTTTATTGTTTTTATTCCAAATATATTTGGAATATGTTTAAATTAAAATAATCCTGTCTAGATGAAATTATTAGAAACATTTACTGAATTTTAGAAAAAGACCTATAAAATGTGTATTAACATTAATCAAATATAAAACTAATTCTATCCAACTTTTGATACTACTTACTTATAATAGTAAAAATAAAGTTAAATCCATTTAGTTTTTATTTAAATATTATTTGATAAAATTAATCAAAGTAGGAATATAATAATAAAATCCAAGACGTGATCTTATCTATCTTTTTTTTGAAAATTAAACTTAACGTTACATAAAGCCAATCATAATGTTTGATTGGTTTAAGAAAAATTTTTTCTGTGACCAATCTTAACTTTGCTGTTCCTAGAAAAAAAATGTATTCGATTTAGCACTTAAACGATAATGGGCCCATTGATGTAACTTTCTTGCTAACTGGTCCGCTAAAAATATCACCAGAAAAGAAATAAGTTTTAGTTTGCGTTTTATTACCTGACAAGCTCATACGTTTCATTTAATATAGTCTTGTTTCCCCCACTACGTGTTTTCAGCTGTTCATATTTACAATAACAAAGCAGCCATGACTCATAAATCAATTTTAACAGATTCTAACCTCCAAATTTTAGCAGGTGCTTCAGAGCTCCCGATAAGTTAGCGTACAGAGATAGCAAGAGTTTGAATTTAGCGCCACAATCTTAGTGAAAGGTTGGTACCGCGTTTTATTTCGCCGTTTTTATAACCTATAAATTTTCGTGGAACGTTTATCTTTGGTTTGTAGTTAATTAACTAATTGCTAGTCAAAAATGAACGATTTGGGTAATGAAATCGAGCAACTAATTGTGGAAGAAATCGAGGAAATGATAGTTGGTGATCAAAGGTTAGTATTAATTAATTTATTAATTGATTGGTAAGTACCAACACATTGAACATGTTTTGTATGCCTTGGTGTATATTTTGTACGTAAAATAGTGGCATAAATTAGAAACTATAGTTTGGAGTAATTGAATTGTAAAAACTCGAATTTGTTTATTCAAATAATTTTAGTATGTTTCCCATGTACTACAATAAACTACATGTAGGTATTACAATAAAAAAATTAAAATAAATAAATTCGTATCTTTTCAATTTAATT